GAATATTTAATTACATAAAATACCTTTCAATAATTATTAGATGCCCACTGAATGAATGCTTTTTCTTATTCTAGAAGAAACATTCTGTAAGGCATCACTACAGAGACAGGAATGGTAATGTATGCTTAATAATAAAACTTAAAATAAATTATAACTGATTCAAAATAATAGGCTACGTAATGTCTCAATCAATAATACTTCATATATAGAGAGAGAGATAATGAAAAGAGAGAGAGAGAGAGAGAGAGAGAGAGAATTACTTGCGTTTTTTACACAGTACATCCTAAAAAAAAAATGTGTTTTGGTATAAAATATCTTTATTGTCATATCAGGAACGAGAGAAAGGTGATACTGTTTATTCGGTGTGTAATGATGAAACTTTCCCATGACAGATTCACTCAAGTCAGTGCTGTAAAAATGTCTATATATATTATTTATAATTATTTACCCTCACCGGAGAAGCAATATTTTGCTAGATGAAGGGGAGTGCGAGAACCTTTCATCTGACAAACAGGTCAATTACACTTCTAGGTGACTGCGTGCAAACCAAAGGTGAATGATACACAACTATTGGGAATACTGAATTTAATATTTATGAGGTTATGCAAAATCGTGAGGATGTTTTTGCCCTTGTTATCTATGCAATCACACCTAATGAATGTAAACCTCGCTTACCCTTCCATAAACCTTTGGCACGGGTGATCCAGCAGCATTCCGCCGAACGCGATGCTGGTGCGCGGATGATGAAGCCTCCCTGACTTCTCTCTCCAGACGCACGACGCGACTTTCTGCATGCTCCAGGTGTGCACGCACTAGGGAGAAACCCCTGTCCTGTGGTGGCATGAATCTCTGGTCACGGTGAAGTCGAAGCGTGGAGGAGATCGCGCCAGGAACGAGTAATAATAACAGATATATGGCACAGCGAGTGAGCGCCAGCATCTTGCGTGTCTGCCCCGACGCCATGTTTGTGTATGTTGAACGTGATGTGTGGCAGGGCGCCTCTAGCGGTCAACCGCATTCACACTCATTACCATGGATACAGATGGCACATGATGGCACATGATGTTTTGTTTTGTTTCACAATGAACTGTAGATTGGCAAGACCAAAATAAGAGATGTTTCAGGGAAAGGTTTCACAGAAAGAACGTTTTACATCAGTAGCATCCCTAACTCTCTGGCAAATGTGGTTGACTTGGTAAACGTATAAATTAATTATTATAGTAATCATAATAATAATTCTTAATTGCTTTTTGAAGGGAAAATAAATTGCCAACTTCACCAAACTTGATTTCAATTATATATATATTTATATATAAGATATTTATATTTATATATAATATATATTATATGTATATATACATGTAAATATTTTTTAAATATATACATGTATGTTTGTGTATTTATATATACAAATAGCCTATACATAGTACACACACATATATTATGTAAACAAAAACGTTTATTTTGGACGCGATTAATCATTTGACAGCACTAATACATTACAAGAAATTGTTAGTGTAGAAAAAGGATCTACATGTATAAATAACACAGGATGTTTTTGTTGTAGTAAAATATATTTGGATCAAAACTGAAAAACGGTTTAAAGCTATACATAACATGCCAAAAGGCCAAAGGTGAAAGGCCATACTTGGTTCTTCAAATATGGGTTACATTTAGACTTTTATTAAACAGTTGTTTTTATTATTATTAAAAACAAACTAATTGCTATAAGCTCAAAACATCATTATTGCGTTATTGAAAATGGATTTTCATCCAGATATAAGGGGTCAGAAAGTCATTTTCGGCCAATACTTAAGGTTTAAATCAAATAAGATACAACCACAACACCCTTATACTGTAATTATATTTTGCAGGATCTTTCATCACCTCCTGAGCTCATCGCCTTGTTTTGAGTTCATAGTTGTCCAAAACCCCCATCTGCTGGTGAGAATTTGTAAAGGCATTATATTTTTATATAGGACTAATTTTACCACTAAAAATTGCATCGGAGTAATGAGTCTTATGTGGTGTCTACTTTCTCAGGGAGAGGTTAGAGTTATACCCTCAGTACAGTACAGTACAGTACAGTACAGTTGGCGCGTTTTCTGTGAGCGCGCGATTATTGACGGTTGAAAAGCGGCGGTTGGTCAGAGAGGTGAACTGAACTGAACTGAACTGCGGTGGCCGAGCGACCAAGTTTATCGAAGGCTACTGATTTTCTGGTATTTATTTTAGTTTATTAACTATTATTAACTAACACCCTTTTTGTCAGAGATATTGATTTTATGTAAGTAAGTTTCAAAAGTCAAACGCGTCAGCTCTAGTGTAACAAACTTGTGGTGATAAGCTTCATCAGTTATTGAAATAAGTAAAAAAATAAAATAAATAAATACCCAGTTGTTTGTCCTAACATGATTGTTGTTTAAGACGGCTTTGTTGACTTTAAAGTGAGGATATTATCTTTCGGACACAGGAAAGTAATGACACAACGCAATCTGGAGAGCACTAAAGAGGCGGTCAGAGCAACAGAAATGAAAAGGTCTCAAGCGAAAACACGTGAGGTGAGGATTTTAGGTCGTCATGAACTGAACTAATCTTGTGGAAGAAATCTACAGTCACAAATAACAGCCCACTGTTAACTTCTGTGTTCTCGTAAGTAATTGTCTGATTTCTAACTGACTTTTTTTTTGTTTTACTAATACTCACAAATGTACATGTAGGTTGAAAATGCACCATTTTCTGACACATCTCCAGCAAAAATGATGAAGGCACAGCATTTCAAATCAGCAGCTGGAGACATGTCTTATGGGTTTGAAATAGCTTTAGAAGGCAAGTCCTGGTTTTCTCTTTCATGCTGTGGGTTCCTACGCAGTTTGTAATATGGAAAAAAGAAAGCAGAGTATGGAAAATATTTGCATTTCCAGACTATTTAGTTTTCTATAATATAAAATTTAATGAAAAATGTATCATACAAGAAGAGTGTTTTCATGGCAGCTGTTTAGTGATTCTTTAGTCATTGTCAAACACGACTGAACAAATTCAAAGTGCACTTTTTCCATTATGCAAAAATGCAGGTTATAAGAGTTTTGGATTTCTTCTTACAATATTCTTAGCACCGTATTACAGAGCCTCTATAACAGGGGTGCCCAAACTCGGTCCTGGAGGGCCGGTGTCCTGCAGAGTTTAGCTCCAACTTGCCTCAACACACAGAGTTTAGCTCCAACCCCAATTAAACACACCTGAACCAGCTAATCAAGCTCTTATAGGCATACTAGACACTTACCAGCAGGTGTGTTGAGGCAAGTTGGAGCTAAACTCTGCAGGACACCGGCCCTCCAGGACCGAGTTTGGGCACCCCTGCTCTATAAGGATCTTTGCAAAAATAAAAAATATACAGACTTTCGTGTGCGCATGAGAAACGATTAAACTTAGCATATAGGACAATGCACACTGAGCCTTTGTGCCATCAGCCCATTTTGCGGTGTGGTTATTTGGCCTCTGCAGAGTATGTGTTAAAGCAGACTTAAGGCCTTGAAATATGACGTACTGCCCTAAAGAAAGCCAAATTCTGAACACTGTTTTACGGTACCAGTCTTATTTTATAGACCCTTGAACTTGGCAAATAGGACTATGCACACAACCGTATTATGCCATCAGCCCATTTCGTGTCATTGTTTCTCCGTCACCACAGAGGATGCATTAAATTGGACATTAGGCCTTGATATTAGAGGTGCTACCCTAAGGAAAGCCAAAGTTTGAGCAAATATGCGCATGTCAAAAGTTTCTTGAAGGCAGACAAAATTTCTCGTGTGCGTGCGTGCTGTATTTTTTTATTTTTTTTTAGGGGCTCTATATGTTGTCATTTCAAGAAAATCAGAGACCATTTTGAAGGCTCAGGAAACCTTTGCAGGTGTTTTGAGTTGATTAGCTGATTGGCATGTCACCATATTCTAATTTGTTGAGATGTGAAAATGTGAGCCAAAATCATCACAATTAAAAGAACCAAAGACTTAAACTACTTCAGTCTGTGCGCATTGAATTTATTTAATACACGAGTTTCACAATTTGAGTTGAATTACTGAAATAAATGAACTTTTCCACGACATTCTAATTTATTGAGATGCACCTGTACTATATACCAAATATAAAGCTGAAAATAATGAACCATTTATGTTAAATATGGTCTGAAAATCTACTGAGAGGTTTGGAAATTTGAGTCTGGACAAGTATGGAATTTTGATTTGAAAAATGTGTAGGAACTCTGTGTCAAATTAAATACCTTAAATACCTCTGACCTGTGACAATTAAGTACCTCTAAAATACCTCTCAATTAAATACCTTTATTAATTATTTAGCATATGTGAGGTTGTGTAGCATAATATATCATGACAGCTATTTTAGTTACATTCATTCATTTTTCTGTATGTCTTTTCATTTTAGAGGCTACCCGAGAGGTCAGTGTCCTCTTTTCCAAGTACTCACAGGTCTTGAGGTAACTGGATGGATTTGCATGCTACCCCTGTGTCTCATCAGTAATAGATCAATAAGGTTTACACTCGTACATTAATTTCACATGTTATCTTCTAAGGGAAAGAGCTGCTGTGGACGCTTCACAGCTCGGAGAACTGGAGGATATACTTACTGAAGCCAGGAGCTTGGAATCTCATCTTAAAGAGAAGAAGGAACACCTGAGACGATCTTTGGCTTTGATCTCTGACAAACTACAAGGATAGGTTCAGTTCTTTTCAGTGGTGTTGTTTGATTCACATAATGCATCTCATTTGCTCTACAAGCATTAGTTCATAAGATATTGTTAAAATGTTGATTATACATGTTCATATTACACTTTAAAAGTTATATAATTATACTTTACAATAAGAGAAAAATAGGTTTTATGCTGAAATAAAGCTTTATATGTGGTGACAGCAACAATCTGTAGTGAACAACTGCATATATATACAAGCATTTGTTATTTGAATAAATTCTTATTCTTTTAGCAGACATTATTTTTAAATTTATTGAAATTATATAATACAAGTTATTAATTCAAGGGAGAAAACAACACAAGCAGAAAAGGAAAAGTAGGTTATTCACAGACAGCTTGATAATCTTGCTAAACATTTGGGCTTTTTAAAAGAGTCTCTCAGTGTCTATTTTGGAAAGTCCCATGGAATCCATATGGAATGCTGATAGGTACCTCAGCCCGGCCCAATTCTTCAAATCTTTTTGCATCCAGCACCAGAAGGAAGGTGCTCTTGTCCTAGAGGGACAATTGTTCATTAGTCCATCCATAAAAGTTAACAAGCAATATTTGATACCACTGAGGAACATGTCGTGTTATACCTGATTTGGGGTGATGACCACGGACAGAATGACTCCATCATCCTCTTCTACAGCACCAGGTGATGAGACAAAGATCGGTTCTGAGGGATACATGCCTGCATGTTTCCACACCTGTCATAAGTTGAAATATTAGTTCAAATGACTAAACATTAAAAGTCACTGACACAATTTCAGCATGCATTAACTTAATACTTCTAACTAACCTTTATTTGTTTGCCTTGAAGGTCCATTTTAATGAGGGAGTCTCCAACCAGGTGTCTGAAGCCACATCCGTAGAAGTAACGGTACGGGCGGGAATTGTACATTGAATAGTTGATGTGTGGGAATTCCAGACCTCCATATTCACTGAGATCATCACCATGGAGATCTTCATGCGTGCAAAACACCTGTATAAATACACGTGGACAATCATTTACAATATATGATATAAAAGCATGTAGATAAATTAGACAAAAAGTTATCCAAATAAACCAACCTTATTCTTGTCTGTCTTGATGGCAGTCGCAGTGCTGTTCAAGCGCGTGTTGAGATTTTGCCCACAGGGTGTATGACTGTCCACGTTCAATGGCAGGACAAAGCGGCGGGGGAACACTCTGCACATTGTGTTGTATACCTAGCAAAAAAAAAAAAAACTGAACACTGAAGTATAGTGAAAAGAAATCTTGCATAGAAAGAATTTTCACTCAGAAATTGCTCATAATTTCACAAATATTTACAAAGAATCGCCAAGTAACACATTCAATTAGACGTGGCATGTTTAAGTAGAAAGGCTGAAATAGTATTTTCTTGTAAAACGTACTCCAATCATCTTTTTTTGCATTTACAACTTCAAAAAAATAGAAGGTTTTACCTCATCTAGAGCATTTCCAGACTTTTTTAGATTCTGAATCAGGTAGTTGTTAATTGCTTGACCATCATCAGAACAGCACATGTCCATGATCAGGAAACCATTTTCTTCATAACAGTTTATCTGATGGAAGGTTGACAATGGCTTTGCATAATATTTGATGAGGCTCAGCTGTGACCAAAGCAGAATCATTTCAAAATGAGTTATATGAAATAAATGTACATAAAAACATTATTACGCAGTGTGGAGTTATTAGCAGTAGTTACCTTTCCTGTGTGTTTATTGATTACATGGAAAACTGTGTTTCGTTTGGGGTCCCAGTATACACCCTCATTAATCCCCTTTCCACGCATTTTGCTTGTCACAATCTTCAAGAGATCCATTTTGATTGGCTGCTCGATGAATACCACATAGTTCTCTGACATGGCTGCAATAACAATGTCGAATTTTATTATATATAGATAAAAAGACTTCAAATAAATGCTGTTCTTTAGAACTTTCTAGTCATTAAAGAATCCTAAAAAAGTATCACCGCTTCCACAAAAATATTAAGCAGCACAACTGTTTTCAACATTGATTTAATAAGTGTTTCTTGAGCAGCAAATCAGCATATTAGTATGATTTCTGAAGGATTGTGTGACACTGAAGACTGGAGTAATGACTGCTGAAAACTGCTTAATTACATTTTAAAATATATTCAAAAAGAAACCTTATTTTAAATTGTAATAACATTTCACAATATTACTGTGTGTGTTTTTTTTTTTATCAATATAGCCTTGGTGAGCAAAGGAGACTTATTTTAAAATATAAAAAAAATCTTACAAACCCCAAACATTTCTATACAATATTTTAAATATAAATGTATACAGTAAGTTTAAATTCACTCATTTATTTGCAAAAGAGTTTGTAGGCATTGCTCACTTACCAAAGCTGTGATAGTAGGATTGTTAATTGTAATAACATTTCACAATATTACTGTGTGTGTTTTTTTTTTTATCAATATAGCCTTGGTGAGCAAAGGAGACTTATTTTAAAATATAAAAAAAATCTTACAAACCCCAAACATTTCTATACAATGTTTTAAATATAAATGTATACAGTAAGTTTAAATTCACTCATTTATTTGCAAAAGAGTCTGTAGGCATTGCTCACTTACCAAAGCTGTGATAGTAGGATGGTTTGGACTTGTCCTCTGAGGGGATTGAACACACAACTGAGGCTCCTTCCAAGGTCTCATTTGGATTCGCCTTCTTTGACGGCACCATTATTATATTGTAGAAAGCACCTTAAGAATAAAATTAAAGAAGAAGAAGAATTTTAACAATTCTTATCTTTGTGTTTGTTTGGCAACTCATTAAACACTTTCAGACTTTTCTTTAATCAGTGTGATTTGTTTAGATTTAAGCTGCTGACAAACCTTTTCGAGTGTAAGAGTTGCCCATGTTGTATGTACTTCCATCAGGATCCACATGGGGATGAGCTGTGGCTCCATTAACTGCAACAAATTTACTCCAGTCCACCTAAACATGACGATTTTCACATTTCAGCTTCAGTTTGTTCTCTATACAAACATATTTGATACATTTTTAAAAATCATAATTAGTATGTATGTACCTTTTCTTTTGTTTCCAGCGTCTGTGGGTCTATTTTGTGCATAAAGTTGGTCTCTGTGCTGACATAGTAGTCTCCTTTATATTGCACAAAGCTCACATTCGCATTGTCACTTGGCTCTGTGGGAAGAGAGAGATGACATGCTCACATACGCAGAACATATTCAGACCACTTCAATCAGAACCAAAGACTTCACACTCACTCGGCAGCTCAAAGCGAGAGAGGAAGCGCTGGAAGAAGTTCTTGCATGGGTCTGGCATGGCAATCGTGCCAAATTCAGACACCATAATGCGGTTATGCTCAAGGTTTTCCTTGTAGCAATCACTGTTGAGGAAGCGGCTCATGTATGTCACCTTTCCATCCTCAATGTGGAACTGGTGCATAAGCGCCATGCCATCAAACCAGTGGTTGAAACTGAGGAGCGAACACAACGGCTTATTTACTTTGCTTTGATATTTCTGTTATGTTCTCAAGGAACCCAGATGACACTCACCTGCTTCTTCCGATCTCAAAATTTCCAGGTCCATTTCTGAGGAAATTGCCTTTGATCCAGAAGGGGATGTTACCTGTAATTGTAGTTGTGATGGGCTCTGGGGTTTCATCTGCAGAGCACACCAGATTCTCAATGCACGGCAGACCATGAACATCAGTGAAGTGTTGGTCTTTGTTCTGTGAGCCTGCTGGGAAAAGAAGAATTTCAGATCTGAAGTTTTGTGCACTACACACATCAAATCTATGATTAGAACCTACCAGAAGTGTTGAGACGGTTCATAGAGGACATGCTGGTCTTGTGATGGCTTGCTGAGTTGGAAGATGTTTCAAGAGCTGTCCTGGAGACTCCCTTGTCTCCTTCTGTTAACTCGACTGTCTTATAAAGAGATCTGTTGGGTCACATGGTGCTTATGCAATACAAAATCACAGACACCACCATTCAAAGTTGTTTTGCCTACAATTATCTTGATAAGAATGGTATGTTTGAATTCACTCCAGGATTACTCTAAGCTAAAAAACAAAACAAAAAAAACAATTAATTAATTTCTTGGGGTGCTTGGGTGCAACACATTTATGAATAAATATATAAATTGAACATCACAATACAATGTTCAATACACAATGTAGATATATTTTGACATATATATTTCAATAATAAGAAGCAGTTAATTATACTACAGAGCTGGACAGATTTGTGATGTTATTATTATTAGCTAAATTAATCATTCTGGATCAATGTAATCAGTCTGGGAAATTCCAGTCAGCAGCAAATGATGTAAATATATCCTCACTTTAACTCAAACTAAAGAAAGAAAAAAGTAATAACTCTGAAATCTTAATGACATTGAGGAAATTTCATTGACCTTACCATAAAATCTAATAATCAAACCAGCTACCCTGAACCACAGGCTTTCATTGAATTTAAGTCTTCATTATTTCAGTACTTCAATATTTATTTTAATATTAAATATATCATTTCAAATATACAACTCTGTAGTGTTCACCTAAATTAATTTAAATATAATTATACTTCTATAATAAAAAAATAGTAATAAAAAATTATCTTCAATAGTAATGCTGTATGCATATTCTATCATTAATTATACTAAATTCAGACTCAAACTCATATGCATCTTAACAGATTATGAAGCAGTATCTACAGCAGTTTGTATAAACCAATTAAAACTGAAATAATCATTGTACATACATTGTTTGAAAGTTATTCACAAGCATTTCAAGAATATTTCAGGGATATCGTAAACAGAAAAAAAATGATGAGGACAGAACATTTCAACTTATTTTGGCATAGCATTATGTTCGCTACAATTGGTTCTTTACTTCATTCAAACGTTTTCTAATTAGTAAATGAAACAAACATTATTGGGGTACGTTTTGCAAGAAAATACTATTTCAGTCTTTCTATTTCAAAATTTCAAAGTTTAATTAAATGTGTTACCATTTCTTTGTAATTGTGAAATTTAGCAATTTCTGAGTCAAAGTTGTTTGTACACCTTTTTTTTTTCAGTGTATGCTGTACATTTATTTTTATCATGTAAAATATGTAATTACACATTTAAATACATGACATAAAAGTTTCAATAGAAATGACATTGAAGTATATTTTAGTTTTTAGTACATTCATCAGTACTCCACTTAATAGGTGCTGTTAAGCATTAATGCACATGAAAACCATGTGTTAAAAGCAAAAAGTTAGGTCAGGTCAACTCTTTTTGATTGTTATTGAATACAGCAGAATAAACTTCTTGTCCCATTTTTAGATCAATCACAGATGCAGTCATTAAAATCCATAATGCGTGGGGCGAGAATACATAACTCAAATAAAAAAGGGTTAAGAAAGTTTAAGGGAAATTACACAAAGCCTGACGAGGAATATCTGGGTCAAATTTCATCCCATAATCCAAAGGGGGGGGGAAACAAAAAGAAAATGCAGCATGAAGTACTTTTCAACCATTAACATTTTCTTCTTCTTCAAAAGCAGCATGTATTTAATTCTCCGCCTGGGAATTTCCAGTGAAGTTATACAAAATAATGTATTAATCATTTCCCCATGAGGCATTTGGTGCTATAACTGAATACACAAGCTCTTTTAAGTTCATAAAAGCACAGCAGCTGGCATAACATATATCTCCCGAGGACATATCCATGGCTATTAAAGACAGTAAAGCATGTGACTGTTGACTGACTCTTTTACTTGCACCATGTGCAGCACATTAAGATCAAGCTTAGAACTGGATAGCTTATCTTTTCTCTTAAATGACCTCAAAATGACAACTTCAAATCACCTCACACAAAATACATTCATCATTTTGAATTAAAAAAAAAAAAAAGCAAGTTACCCACAGGATTTCTAAACAGTAAATACTGCTCTAAATTTAGTCATGGATAATTTTCTTTATATAGTATCCAATATCTGAAATGTATTTGATCAATATCAAACAATAATCAAGCAGCATTGAAAAGATTACTTGCAGATACTATTGTCATGTCGTGTCATGCTCTTGTGAGCTCATCAGTGATTATCAAGAACTGCACTCTATCTATAACTGTTTGCACTGGACATTTGGTTTCATTAAATACATCTTTACAGATTACGTCTTTTTATGGTTGTAACATTATGTGCTTCACCTGCAAACCAGATTTGATTTTCTTGCATGATATTGTTTGAGCAATCTTGGACTCCCATCTAGTGTTAATAAAAAGCATATTAAAACAAAACTGTTGTTTAATCTGAATACTGTGATCCTAATTCAAACTTTATAACCTTAGTTTATAGGCCTTATCAGCTAGTTTTAGAGAATACATTTTTAGTTTATAGAACATAATTAATTTTTTTCCCTTAAGTAATTTTAAAATTTGGCTACTGTGGCTACTTACTAAGGACCACTGAGACCCTTGAAATGACACTGAAACTCAATATTTGGTAAAACTGGAGAATTGTAAGATGCACATTCAGGTATTTAATCTTTGAACTTCGCCTGTTGTGACACAGTACAGTGGAAAATCCTGTTCACTCCAAAGAAACCATATAATCCAAAAAAACTGCCTTTATTCTTAAGCGCACAATTGTACCCAAAGCTTCAATCTGCATAGAAATCTAGTCATACAGATTTATTACACAAATCTCCATAGCACTTTAAACAGACACAAGTGTGGCCAGACTCGATGATGTTGTTTTCAGAAGTGTATAAGAACATGATAACAGGACTTGCAAAATCTCAGTCCAAAATGTATTCCATCAAAGTCAGTCAGGAAAAAAAATCTCTCTAGAAACCCTTAGATCCAAAACACATTTTGTCGTTTAGATTCTATTTACATTACCCACACAATCTCAGTTTTACCTGTTTAAAGTACATCTAAGCAATTTAAAATGAAAGATGTAGATACATTGATTTTAGTGCAAAGCACATCCAATTACACATTTCCTTTCATGAACGATTACTTACTTGAGCAGAAATACAGCCATGCAAAGTGTGAAGCAGAAATACTGTCAATGTGACAATTCTCCAGATGTTGTGGTCATTAATGGAGGACTATGAAGGTACATTTTCAAATACCGGTGTAAAGTTAATTCTGCATATGCTGTGATGACAACCAACTGGAGTCAAAATATTGTTTTAACACATCAGATACTGGCTGACAAAAAGACATTATGCAATATAAATATGGCCAAAACATTTATTACCTGATCATGTTCCTGTAAAAATGTAATATTATTAGTGTAATGATTTTTCAAGTTCAAATACAGTGACCAGCATCTTGTAGCCACAATAATTTGTTGCTTTAGCTGCATCAGAAACACTGATTTGCCAGACAAGAGAGTGGACGGCATGCAGATTTCCATCTTAAGCAAAAGCTGAGCATGTTCTGAACAAACTGACATCATTAACAATTAAAAACACCTGCAAATCAACACAATGTTGCCAAAAATTATATATTCATAGAATTTACATATAATGTCACAACTGTATACAATAAACTGGAACTCTGATGCCGAAAGCGGATCCCACAGCGCCCTCATCTCAGTCCAGTCATTTACTCCACAAGAGGCCCACAGCTTTGCAAATCCCCACGTCATGATAGTTGAAGTAGCACAGGCCGGCGAAGGTGACGGTCGACAGAAGGAAGAGGCCAGCATTAGCCATCTTGATTTTAAAGTCTCCGTGAACATAATCTGTCACAATCTGGCCAAGACCCCTGGAAAACACACAATAAAATGCAATGCCCTTTTTTAAATAATGGCTGTTATGGATATTGATGTTACAGGAATAGTAAAAAGTGAACATTTGCTTAAAGTTTACTCACTCTTGTGCCATCCAAGGTGTAGATGAGCTTGTGTCTTCATAGCAACAGTGTTGGAGAAATGTAGCATTACATCACTTGTTCACCGATGGATCCTCTGGAGCGAATGGGTGCCGTCAGAATGAGAGTCCAAACAGCTGATTAAATCATTACAATAATCCACATGACTCCAGTCCATCAATTAATGTCTTGTGAAGTAAAAAGTTTATTTTTTTGTAATAAATTCATCAATAAGACATTTTTAACTGTTGCTTCTGGCCAAAATACAAGTCTTCTATTCATAACATTGTTTCCTCTCGTGAAAAAGCTGTCTTGTCTGAATCAGGGGAAAAACATGCACAGACCAAGAACTGTTTACAAGTGAAAACATTTCTAAACAAATGTGATTGGATTTTGATGTGAGAAGACAATAGGGGATGGACTTTTTCACTGGAGGAAGCTTTATTATGGATTATGGACTCGTATTGTGGCCAGAAGCGACAGTTTAAAGTTAAATGTCTTAATGACGGATTTGTTTAATACAAACAAGCAGTTTTTTCACTTCACGAGATGTTAATTGATAGACTGGAGTCATGCGGATTATTGTGATGTTTTTAATCAGCTGTTTGGACTCCCATTCTGACGGCACCCATTCACTGCAGAGGATCCATTGTTGAGCTAGTGATGTATTGCTAAACTTCTCCAAATCTGTTCTGATGGAAAAAAAAAACGAACTCATCGACATCTGACGGCGAGTAAATTTTCAGCAAATTTTCATTTTTGGGTGAATTATTCCTTAATTGATTAATCAAATCTCTTTTCTCCTATACAATTTAAATATCTGAGCTGTTGAATATTCGATTCATACATTTAAGCTCCAATGTTTTTGGTAACCATCTGAGACATGTACTCTTCGCTTTCAAGAAGCCAAACATATAGAGGTCTGCAAGCCCGATGGGGCCCGACACGCTGAGTCCATTCAGGCCGGGCTCAGGTCATTTTGTTTTTTTACAGATTGGACTCGGGTCGGACTCGGGCTCATTCAGCTTCTCTCCTTTTATTATGCCCATATACGCGCAGAGCACACATAGGTAGGCCTGTCACGATAACAACTTTTTGTTGTGCGATATATTGCCCTAGAAATAATTGCGATAAGCGATATTATTGTCATTTTAAAGACCATTTTATGCCACTGAATA